GTGTGTGTGTGTGCATACACACACACACACACACACACACATATATATTTGCTTTGTTCTTCTCCATCAGTACTGATGGAATAGCATTATAACATGGTTATATCTTATATACTTGAAATTTGCAGACACATAAGCAGTTTTATAGGTACATAAAGTACAGGTTTATAGGTACATTTAAATGAAATGCACTGGGATTTTTAAAATATTGTAAGACATTAATACTTAAAAAAAAGAAACATGAGTAGGGCAATATATTAATTGTAGAATCCTACAGAAGTTAAAAATATGAGTCAAGTGTAATTAAAGGTACATTTGATTTCTGAAGTTGCAACAAAATATGCAAAATATCTTTATATTTGATCCACAGTTTTGCTAAGAATCAACTCAACATAATAAATGTAAACCAGAAAGTGTTAATAATTTACACTGGAGATAAAATACTGTAATCCATGTTGAGAATATTAAAAGTTATGAAACCCTGTTTCAAATGGGTATATGTCACACATTAAAATTTGGCTATAACTTTTAACCATTGAATACACATTGATGATATAGTTACTGGTAACAAAAGGGCTTCATTAAAAAATGTCACCATGGGAGAAGTAAGGCTAATTATATTAGTTGAGCAAAGCCTTTAAGATTGAGCACCAGTGGAATAGAACACAATTAATCTTGACTTTGAAAAACAGAAATATTAGTATAATATTAAGTAGTGCAAGCTTTTGAACAATAGAGCAAAGCAAGTGTTTTGTTCAAACCAATAAGGACACAAATATTTCTGAATAGCTCCATCATCTTTCCCCTCTTAGACTATGGAATGTGAGCCACCTGAAAATCAGAGTGACAACCAGAAAATAATCAGAAAAAAAAATGCTTGTGTATCAAATCCCATTCTCTGAACAAATGCCAGATGACCTTAAAATGTGCTATCTAGGCAGAGCAAGAAGAAAGATACAGAGAAATAGATTCTAATTTGCACAAAAGTTATTTTTAGAGTGTTGTGATATCAAGCTTTGTCTCCTCAGTGGAAATATATATGTATGTTTCCTTTTTCAGAGATCAGGCTGAAATCCAGTGGCAAAAAGAGATTATAGTTTCTTTCCTGTAAATATGGCAAGATATGCCTATAGAAGAGAAATCAGTGTCAACTGGGGAAGGGGCAGTAGCTGAAAATGCAGAATCCTGAAAAAGAACACAAACATACTAGTAAGGAACATTTTCAAATTACTGAGACATAGGGCAGTGAAGAAATATGCTGTAAGATACTCAAGCACATTAGCTACATCTTTAATTTGCAAAGAAGATGCCACATCATTTATAAAATCATACCAAGAGCATTTTCCATTAGCTAAAAACATTTTCAACCATGAAAGTGACCAAACCCAAATTCTCTAAATAATTCCATATATGCATATGGTGACTATAACTCTTCTAAGAGGATTTTGTGAATTTTTTTCTTACCTGCTGCAAATTAGCAATGATGGGATTAGCATTTCTCCTGCATATTATGGTCTTGATTCTAACAAAATAGCAACCCTCTCCATGCCTCAAACTCTGTTTTGAAAAATATGGAAGTTGCACATTTAGATTACTACTATTCTGATTTCTTTTCCTTGTATGGAACACTTGATGCCAGTTTGACCTCTTAAGAAATGAGATCCTTTTTGTTACTAAAAAGTTTTCAATTACCATTAAAAAA